AAAAAAAAAATCGGTAGATGACTAGTATGATTGGATCGTGCTGGAACAACAGCCAATAACCGTTTATCTGAACAGAAGTACTTATCAGCTACGGAAAATTATTCGCACTAGAACAAAACAAACGCATATTGTAATTTTCTTAATGAGATGTAAATCGTGAATCTAACTCATGAATTAATCATTGACCAATAAAACAGATCTCATTTCACTTCTGACCGAACGAAACTTGAAACAAATTTTTAAAAATTAATACACTAACAAAATAATAAGAATGACAGGAAAATAAACGAACTATAAAAATGAAGAAAGAGTCGATTCGATTCAGTTAGCTGGGCCAAGGATTTCCATTAATGCTTTGATGAGATAATGTGCGGTGCCATATTCGCCGGCTGGAGCTGAATCGTAAAAGTGCTGACACATTCCTTGAGCACCATCACACCGTTTACCACTACCACAACATTCCATTACGATCGTTTCCATTTGTCTCTATAACCAAGTTCATTCCAAATATAACCACCACGTATTTCTAAGAATCAGCAAAAAAGGCGTCTAAAAGCATACGCTCAATTTAACGCTATTCTAGCCTATCACACTTAACTGCAAAATTCATCAACCTCCAAGGGATAAACTGAAATAGAAAAAGTTTAAGAAGAAATTTATGTCATTCATCACATACTTGTAACAGGCACAAATCTAATTGTTTTCACCTCATTCACAGCACAATTTGATGGATTGCAACGAATTATACAAAACGATGACTAAAAACAAACATTATGCTCCACAAATATTTTGTTGGCTAGATGAACAACGCTATCCACGTCGAATGCACGATCGCATGGAATATTTGGTCGATCCGTCTTCAACAGTATATCCATTTTACCGAGTAACGCAAGTGCCTCAACGATCATTTCACGATATTCTGGTTCGGCTATCTAAATACACGCATTGAGACTGAGCAATGGCACTTCTTCCTACGGGGTACCATCATAAGTGAGATTCTTAAGGCAAGAGCAGAGAGCAAACCTGATTCAATACTTGTTCCACCTGTAAAGCGAATTTCATTTCTCGGCGAGTCATCTGAAAGCGAAAAGAAAATTTAAATTCTAAATTCAATCAGTAAAGCTGAGATGAGTGATTAATTGTTGATTTCGATACATAATAAATTTCATCTTGCCCATGATTACAATTTACCGCCAAAATAAAAACACAGCACATACCTCCTGAGTGAGTCCCCAGTGTAAAACAATACGATTGATCGATAGTCCGCGTGGAAAACGTCGAACGGTATCCCACAGAGTCTGAAACGAACTTGTTAGCCCGAACACAATTGGATTATTTTAGTACTCACACTTCTGTTAGGAACGAAAAATTCTTATTAATGCCCCCTTTAATGCCGTACGCGATTCTAGAAAAATTCAAACGGTAATAACGTTACATTCATTCGCGCTAAAACAAACAGAGATTTCTTCTGATCGAACTGAAGCAAAATTTACCGCGAAGAATTCAGGAGGTACGCGGTTGAGGGCGCCATCGATTCGACGATGCCTAAGCCATATACCAAACTGAAAATCTTCACTCTCAACGGATTCATCTTCCACTAATGGCAGATCCAAGAGACTCATCTCCACCGAGTGTTCACTTCCTTTTATTGAATGTAGCGATTTGCGCATTGACTACAATTATAACAAACATTAGCATTAACAAAGTGACTTCTCATTAGACTTATAAGCGAAATTTTGCAAGAAATCGATCGAAAAGTTCCAAATATTCTTTAGAATAATTTTTAAATGATTTTTCAAATAATAAGCAAAAATCGCAAATACTTCGCTATTCGATAATAGATTCAGTCGACCTACCCGCCTTTCCTCGATTTGTTTTCTTATCGATCCCATACCCGTACGCTGTTCTTTGGCACCAGTTTCAGCTTCTTCACTCAAATCTTCAAGAAGTCGTCCACTCAACAAGGACAGCAGCATCGACTTCACTTCGAACGGTGATATCTCCAATAGTTTTTGGGATGCATCCGTTCCTGTTATTTGTCTGAGACGAGCCAACTCACTGGCGAGTACCTGTACATTAACGATATGCAACAAAACAACACACCTCATTAACCACTTTCACGAAAAATCGCAGTAATCTGATTGCTTAAAGTCATCTTGTTAAATCCGAACACATTCGTGATTTGCTTGCCGTAATTCAACAACGGTATTTATGTCGTACTGATACAGAAGTAAGTGAATAATGAATTAAAAGAAACGCAATTAATACACTCTTTTGAAGCAATAAATTTTGATAGATTATATCTTCTGGTGTCGTTTTTATTCGTTCATTATTCATTTATTAACTGGCATAATGGATTTAACCAATAAAGTGATATTGAGATAAGCAAGTGAAGTGTTTCCACAAGAAAGCTACCTGAATGATGAGTCCAACACGAAGGCGGAACATTTCGACAAAAAGGCGTGGTTCTGTTCGCACCAATGATCCCAAACAAACAATTATTTCCTAAACTTCGTGAAATTAAACGTAAGACGAAGTGAATACCCAATACCCACATCAAATCAAAAAATCTTACAGATGATTCACCAAAAAAATATATCGCTTTTCACGACGTAAATCAACTTCAATTCAATTTCTCAATATAACATCTCAAATTACGCGATAATACGACTTTAGTGGTGTCGTGAAGCAAATATAAGGTAAAACTGATTCAGCAGAAGCAGAGACTAAGGCGAAATAAGATTAGTTCTTAATTCTAGGGTTCGTCGGAGAGTAACTTTTCGGCCGAAAACGATCCCGTCGAGGGCCAAAATGACCGGGGAAGAACATCAATCATTTTTATTCGAGGAGCGAATTGATCGGGGGAAGGGCCCGCAGGTGGGAATTCGTCCGAGGAGATTCGACCCTCCCCGAAAAAATTCATGGAGCAAAATTGTCGAGGAATTACTCTGCGCCCGTGACCCCGTTCCACGATAAACATTGCCAGAAAGCGATAAAATAAAGCACCTGTGAAAGCGTATAACTGTTAGGGTCATCACCATAGGCACGTGATAGTATTTTTGAAAGTTCTTCTTTGGTTTTTGGTGATGTGATTGTTTCTTCTTTCTTCGATGGGATCCCCAATGTAATTTGTTTTTGACGAACCAACAAATACGTAACAGACTTTGCCAATTCGTCCAACTGTCGATTCAGAAGACCTGCCGTTAACCGAACAAGGGCCCAATCACGGCACTCGCAAGCCTCAAAAACAAATTTCCTGACTACACTTCTCGCAAATGCGTAGAAGTTAATACGAATTTTATATGAATATTTGTATCAGATACCGATGATCAAAGCGTTAAGCGTGTCTCGTTTATGTATGAATAAAGGAATGTCACTATGGAAATGAAACTCCAGAAACGAAACAGCCATAAAGTAGCGAAAATTTCTGAAACCAAATACTCGATTCGTACCTTTCCATATATTTCATCAACCAACATCCTCACCGTCGAACCTTCAGTACCATTCAAATGTGTGTCAAAATCGGGACCTCTATAAATACGAAGAATCGTTAATAAACGAAAAAAAAATAGCCGAACGGCAAACAATGAAGAACACATCGCTCAATTTCAGTTGCTCAACAAAATCCTTATATCGTGAACCACTCTTGCATCACGAATAATTACTTTTTCATCCATAGATAATGAACGATGGATGCTTGTTCATCGAGAACACTCGTTTCATTGAGCATATCCACAAGGTCTGATGCTGACATTACATCCAATTGTGCTGTATCCAATCTAAAAATATGCACTCACTTGTACTATATTTACACTATATTTATATTTACCATTTGCACTATATTTACAATATGCACAATATTTAATTCAAATGTCATTTCTTTCCACAATTAGAAGTACATTTCACAGTTATTTATGGAATAAAATGAAACTAAATATACGAATGACCCACTAAAATGCAATCGTTACAAAAGAATTCAAGAACGTCATAAAAGCGCAAAAAACACTTCAGAAAATTTGATTTCAGTTCATCTTCGAATCACAAGTTCTTCAGATACCGGAGGAGGGATATTCGGGAATAACTGAAAGAAAATGAAAATCGATAACCGTTTTTCGGAGTCACTCGATACACTTTTGATTGATGAGGATGAAGAAGTTGTTTGGAGTGCGTTTGGTGCAGTTGATGGAAGAGACTTCTGAAGATTAATTAATTGTTTTGTATAGTGTGATACTGCTGATGAAGAACGTGGAGATAAAATTTTGAGAAATGAAGTGTGAACTATTTTGATGAGACGCTAAAAAAAACAGTTACTGAAAAGTGAGAACGTACAAGAGGAATCTCTTCAGGAGATGGACTCGATCGTTTCTCGCGTACTGGTGAAAGCAATCTCATTGGAGAGGCGTTTCGATATTTATCAGACCCACGAGACCTTTCATGATGAGTGCCATATGCTAATCGTAGTTTGGCCAAATCTGAAAAGATTGCAACACCAGATGAAACTGAAAGTATGCTACAAAAAAAAAACGAAAGTAGATGAAATCAAATAGCAAAAATCACACACTGCTGCACGAGTCTTTACGCAATCACGAAAATACAATACTGAAATGAAACATGTTCGAAAGAAGAATGTCATTACCATATCAACAAATCTCGCCTGGTACTATTTGGGCATCATGTGAACGCAGAGATATTTAAAAAGAGAGATCAAATATCACTTAAACGAAAAATAGCGTTACAAGTAGCAGTATCGTTTTGCTCATTACAAACGCCAGAAAGCAAGTTATATTAGTTAAACACATGAAATCCTTAGAGCAATATTTGCGTTTGCTTTATGTTTAACAACATTCGAATACTCAGTGACTGGAACAATTCATACAAATAAAAAAAGGAAATGAAACCTCACCAACGTCATTACTGTCAAGCATCACACTTCGATGACGCATTGACATTTTTTGAACGATGTCGAACTGCTCATTACGATCCTTTGATATTGAACGACTCACTTTTCTGGGAGCTACAACTGAAACTCAAAAACTCTGACGTGAAGTGAAAAGAATCGACTGTGACTTAGAGAGGAAACTGGTTAAAATTTTCGATAAGGCGGTATTAAGCAAAAAATGAGCGAAATTTATCCGAGCAGGTTCAAGTGAAATAAACGCGCACGAGTGCACATCACTAACCGAGGTTCTGGTCATCGTCAGCTGAAGGTAAACTGCGGTGTAATCCACGCGCTTCCATTTCTTCCTCTTCACTCAGCAAATCAACAACACTCCCTTCGTGAAATTCCAATTTACTGACTGCCGTCGTACAGAAGAATTCAGAAATATTTTTCATCACCACTCTTCAAATTGAAAAAAAAANAAAAAAAAATTTCACGCAAAATCATGCAATCATAATACACTGAAACTGCAAACACACTGCAATAATACGAGAAATATTTCAAAAATCCCGAAAACACAATACCGAATCGTAAGTGTTCATATGAACTATAAAAGATTCACATAAGAACACACCTCGCCCCACCGATATACCCAGTCGCAATTTTTTTGATCGTACCCACTACAGTTGATATCATATGCCTGCTAGTGAACGCACTTTTATTCGATGACGAATCCTGAAAGGGAAATAATAAATACGAATTCAACGCTGATTTCACACTAAATAAATTTACGACGATTGCAAACATGTGAGCAGAGATAATGTGTCAAGGTGTATTCTATGAGGCAAAATTTGAATGCGCTGATCGTGAGTCAGTTTGGGTAAAGTAGACAATTTGCTATAACATGCAAACTACCGCAAGCTAACGAAACACATTTATTTTCCTTCCGAACCAACACTCTGTTTGCTTCTAACATACTCTTCAGCTAGAAGGGAAGACTCAATAAAGAATCTATGAAATCGCGAAAAATAACTGACAATGGAAGGCCTAGAAACGACTGCTATAGGAACAAAAATGAACTAAATTTTAAATGAAACACATCGATATATCCCATAAAACACAAAAATAATTCTAATACAGAAATAAGGAGTCAGTGCAACACGAAATAACCAAATCATTTCTAGTGAAAAGTTCTACTCAATTCC